CTCTGAACCACTGAACCTGCTTGAGAAATTCCCGAGGACACCGAAAACTCCATGTCTGAGGGGCTGGCAGCAGGAAAGATGCTCAGCAGAGCAGACAGAGAGACAGGGAGTGTCCACCTCGTGTGTTTCGGGGTCAGGAGCTCCCAGACGGGCAGGTTTGGGCAGCTTGGCTCCAATTCTAGGTCAAACACGAGCCCCGAGTCCCAGCCTGGTTGGGGCAGAGCTCGTCAGCCGTGTCTGGAGGAGGAAGTGCTGCCCTCCTGATCCTCCCTCCCAGCTGGAATAACTCCCACCCCCACTGCCCTGCGGCTGCCACCCGCTGCTCCCTCCCCTGCAGCCCCAGATCCCTGCAGGGAGGGCAGCTGGGGGCACAGCCAGGCTGGGACCCCAAAATGGGAGGGAAGGGAGGGTGGAAGGGCAGGGATGGGTGGGCAGGGATGGGAGGAAGGAAGGAAGGAAGGAAGGAAGGAAGGAAGGAAGGGGATGGATGGACGGGGATGAAGGACAGGGACAGAAGGACAGGGATGGATGGACAGGGATGAAGGGCAGGGATGGATGGATGGATGATGGATGATGGATGGATGGATGGATGGATGGATGGATGGATGGATGGATGGACAGGAATGAAGGGCAGGGATGGATGGATGGATGAATGGATGGATGGATGGATGGATGGATGGATGGATGGATGGATGGAAGGACAGGAATGAAGGACAGGGATGAAGGACAGGGATGGATGGATGGACGGACGAATGGATGGATGGATGGATGGACGGACGAATGGATGGATGGATGGATGGATGGATGGATGGATGGAAGGAAGGAAGGAAGGACAGGAATTAAGGACAGGAATGAAGGACAGGGATGAAAGGGCCAGAATGGATGGACAGGGATGAAGGACAGGGACGAAGGACAGGGATGGATGGACAGGGATGGAAGGACAAGGACAGAAGGATTTAGTATCAAAGGCATCCCAGAAAGTTGGGGAGAGAATGATGCACCTGGCTGCATCCTATTAGAAGGCTAATTAATTATTTTTATACCATATTACATATATTAAACTGAATTTGTTTGTGCTTGCCCTGCCCACAGCCTCACGTGCTGCTCTCAGTCCTGTGGCTGTTCTGTGCCTCTCCAGACACACACACACGCTCCTGGCCCTGACAGGCCCAGGGGACACAGCACCATCACTCTGGGTAAATCATTCCCATGTCCAGTTTGCTTTGGTACAGCACAGGCCCAGCAAATGATAAGAATTGTGTTCTCCCTTTCTCTGAGCTTCAGCGAGTGTGAAACCCAGAAATATTCTTGGGAAAAATTGTGCCTTGCTTTTCTCTGCGAGGAGAAATGTGGAACAGAAGGAGCCCCAAATCACCCTGCTGTGGGAGGTCGAGGACTCCTGGGCAATTAACCAACATGGTTAAGCAGAAGCTGTTTATTGTTTTCATTCCACACACTCTTATAGATTCTACAAATTACTGGGTACACAATTCCTGACTGGTGATTTTTTTTCTTTTTCTCTCGTTTCCTGCCTCTGTTTCTCAGTGTCTGTGGGTGCAGTCTAGGTGATTTCCAGTCTTCTGCAGTCCAGTTTTTGTGGTCTTGGTATTTGGCTTCTCAGCTTCTTGGTTCTTATTTTAGCACAGTTGATGTCTTGGTAACTTTGATGGATTTTACAGAGAGAAAATTCTGAGAAATTCTGAGAGAATTCTGCTAAAAACAATTACGAGCGGCATGGCTGGTGCTCTCTGAGGCCTGAGTTGTTCAGACACAACACCCCACAATTCCTGCAGTATCCCACAATTCCTGCAAGATCCCAGAATTCCTACAACATCCCACAACTCCTGCAAGATCCCACAATTCTTGCAAGATCCCACAATTCCTACGACATCCCAGAATTCCCACAACATCCCACAATTCCTGCAAGATCCCACTATTGCTACAAGACCCCACAATTCCTACAAGATCCCACAATTCCTACAACATTCCACAACTCCTACAAGATCCCACATTGCCACATCACCCCACGGAGGGCAGCCGGTGTCACGCCAGGGACCCCGCAGCATCCCTGCAGCACAGCTGGGGACATCTGGGGACATCTGGGAGGCAGGAGGGGCAGAGGGCGCTGGGCAGACCCGGCCCTGCCAGCTGCAGGAACGAGGGTGGCAGATGGAAGAACTGGTTTGGCAAACAGCTCCTTCCTGGGACCTGCCCTGGGCAGCCCGGAGGTGACTCAGCTGGGCGGGGGGGAGGGGATGCAGGGCATTGTCCCCGTCCCAAATCCCCGCTGGTTCCGGCCCCAAAAACCCTACAGATCCTTCAAAGACCCCAGAGATCCCTCAAAGACCTCACAGATCCTTCAAAGACCCCGCAGATCCCCTAAAGACCCTAAAAATGCCCCAAAGACCTCACAGATCCACCAAAGACCACACAAATGCCCCAAAAACCCCAGAAATCCCTCAAAGACCACACAGATCCCCCAAAGATCTCACAGACCCTTCTAAGACCCCCCAGATCCCTCAAAGACCTCACAGATCCACCAAAGACCACACAAATGCCCCAAAAACCCCACAAATCCCTCAAAGACCCCAAAGACCACACAGATCCCCCAAATATCTCACAGACCCTTCTAAGACCCCCCAGATCCCCTAAAGGCCCCACAAATCCCTCAAAGACCACACAGATCCCCCAAAGATCTCACAGACCCTTCTAAGACCCCCCAGATCCCCTAAAGGCCCCACAAATGCCTCGAAGACCCCCCAGATCCCTCAAAGACCTCACAGATCCTTCAAAGACCTCACAGATCCTTCAAAGACCCCACAGATCCCCTGAAGACCCTAAAAATGACCCAAAGACCTCACAGAGCCACCAAAGACCCCACAGATCCCCCAAAGACCACACAGAGCCACCAAAGATCTCCTAAAGATCTCACAGACCCTTCAAAGACCCCACAGATCCCCTGAAGACCCTAAAAATGCCCCAAAGACCCCACAGATCCCCCAAAGACCACACAGAGCCACCAAAGATCTTCTAAAGATCTCACAGACCCTTCAAAGACCCCACAGATCCCCTAAAGACCCCACAAATGCCTCAAAGACCCCCCAGATCCCTCAAAGACCTCACAGATCCCCTAAAGACCCCAGAGATCTCCCAAAGACCCCACAGACCCCCTCAAAGCCCCTGTCACCCTGTTTTCTTTAAGTTCCTTTAAGCCTTCTGATGTTTACATTCCTGTCATGAACTTTTAAACGCCCTCTGTGTAAATAATTCATTGTTTTGCATTCTTTCGTGGAGGAGGAGAAGTTTGCTGGGCTGTTGGTTTGTCCGGGGTCACTGGGGAGGTGCCACTGTCACCCTCCAAGCCACTGTCACCTTTGGAAATCCAGAAATGTTGGAGTCCAAAATGAAACCTCTTTCTTTTTTACCTTGGAGAGTCCAATGTCCACGTTGTTTTATTTTGTGTCCTAAAGCAACAAGACCCCACAGATCCACCAAAAACCCTCCAAAGACCCCACAGATGCCCCACAGACCCCACAGATGCCCCAAAGACCCCACAGACCCCACAAATCCCCCAAAGACCCCTCAGGTCCCCCCGAGCCCAGCCTGGCTCTCCCACCCCTGCGGTGCTGGGGGTTCTCCCCGGGAATGCTGCACCACAGGAATATCCCAAAGGGGTCCCCAGCTGGGTGTCCCCGATCCCAGGGGATTTCAGCAGCTGGATGGGTGGGAAATGGGAATTTTTTCCCCAAAAAATTTAGTGGGAACAGTTTGTCCCACAAGCCAGGGCAGGGCCTGGCAGCTTTGGCTGTATTTGCCCGACAGGGCTGTGCCAATATTTATTCTGTGCCTCGGGATCCCTGCAAGGACACCAGGGACGTTCTCCCCGCTCCTGGCTTCCCTGAAACGCTCCTTTTGCCTGGCATTCCACTCCCTGAGATAATCCCTTCGCCCAGGGTTTTTCTCCTGGGAAGATGAGAAGCCTCAGAGAAAAAGAAAACAATTCTTGTCTCATTTGTATAATGTATTGTATATCATTATATTATTTATTGTTTATTGTTTATTATTATTTTTTCATTATTATCTTTTAATATCTTTTATGATCTGTAAGTATCCTTTCTGTATTCTTTAGCACAGTATTCTTTAACACAATACAGTATCATAAAATAATAAGTTAGCCTTCTGAGAACATGGAGTCCGATTTTAACACAGGTGATTGTTTCTTTGGGTTTTGCTGTGAGCTGTTTTCACTCCTTGGCCGATTGGGGCCAAGCTGTGTCAGGGCTCTGGAAAGAATCATGAGTTTTCATTATACTATTATTATTATTATTATTATTTAACCTAAGGTATTAGAAAATAATCAATTATCCTCCTGAGAACACGGGGTCAGATCCATCACCCCTCCTGCCACGGGGGTCCCTGCAAGTCCAATCCTCCTGTGCCCAAAACCCCAGCAGGGAATGGGGCACGGGCTGACCCAGCTCCCTTCGACCCCAAAAAACCCCAGATCCTTCTCCCATCAAAATAAAAAGGAAAAATTGTATCTTTTACAAACCCATCCCACAGTCCATAAATTTTAAATTCACAATCCAACAGATCAGATGGAAAAACCCAACCAAAACATTGGAAAACCTTGGGAAAATGCTATTTATTTATTTCATATTTGTGCGTAAGGAGAGAAAAAAGAAGCACAAAATCATCTGAAAAAAGAAAAAATAGAAATCTTATTTAAAAATATTTAAAAAAACAGAAATCTTATAAAAACTTAAAAAGAAAAATAGAATCTTTTTCATGTGAAAAAGAAAAATAGAAATATTTTTCTATTCTATTTTTCTGAAATAAAAAATTTGAAATATTCTTATAAAATATAGCCAAGAGACTGACAGATGGATAAAATCCTTTATTATCATTATTTCTTTTTTGTACCTTTCCATTTATTCCAGAAAAACTTTCTTTCTCTCTCTCTCTCTCTATATAAAAATCATTACCTCTTTCAGAATAAATCCTTAAAATCATTTATTTTAAAACAAACATTTTTTTTTGTACAGCACTAGTTAAATACATTTATTTATTCTCAGTTTTCTGCCAACGAATCACCCCAGAGAACATTCCCAGTTTGGGGATCCGTCCTGGCCCCTTCCGTCGATTTCTCCTGCTGGAGCACGAGCAGGGAAATGTGGAATTTTTTATCATTTGTGCTCAGACACGGCTCACAGGGATCCAAAAATCCAATTTTACACCATCTGAGCATCCAGATGTGCAGCACACCTGGAAATCAGGTGGAAAAACCCAAACAAAACCTTGGGAAAATGCTCCTTAATTCCATTTTTTTCACCTTTTGTGTAAGGAAGAAGGGCAAAAAATACATTTATTTTGTGCTGAACCTCCAAAAACCCAAAGGAATTTTGTGGTTTGACTTCTCCACGTGGATCTGTAGGGCCAGGGAAGGAGGATCCATGTGGGAATGGAGGGATGGAATTACCAGCTCTGCCTCAATGGTGGTGGTGTTGTTGTTGCTGTCCCAAAGCCTGACCTCGCTCTGCACATTGATTTAATTCTGTTCCTTTGCCCAACCGTCAGCTGGCCAGACAAAAGAACACCAGGAATACACATTTCCTCAGGGCACAGCCAAAATTCCTGCTTTCTGCTAACAAAAAAAGGGAAAAAATTCCAAGAAAAACCAGAAGCAACGACTTCCTTTGGCCTGCCAGGAGCAGCGGCTGCTCCAGGACGTGTTGGATGGGAGAATCCATGAAATGAGGGGGGAAAAATGCTGGAAAACCACGGAAATTCCCAACATTTTCACAAAAATCCCAATTGGCGCTCCAAAACCTGGGAAATCCTGCCCAGGGATGGGTTTTTTTAGGGATGGGGCATCCAGAGGGTTTCTCTCCCCCTAAATCCAGCCTAAAAGGGCTGGAATTTAATCCCAAAGGTGGAGAAGAGGAATTTAACTTTGGGATTTAATCCCTGCCAGCCTCCAGTTTCTTTTTTTTTTTCCAGCTGTGGAGATCAGAGCTTGGCACCAAATATTTGCACTCCAAGTGGGAATCAGATATCCATGAAATGCCTGGGATAAAAGGGGTTATCTGGGATTGGGGCTACTGGGAGCTGATCAGTAACGGGGGATTGGAACCCTCTGGAATTCTCTGGAATGATGTAAAGTCGTGGGGTTCTGGGTGTGATTCCAGAGGGGAAAAATCCCAAAATATCTGGCAAAAATTCCTTGGGAAAGCTGGAATTCTAAAGAAAGGAATGTTCCACTCCATAAAAAGTTTAGGAGGGAAGAAATTCCTGTTTTTCTTGGATTTTGGGCATTGCCAAATGTTGGGAATTCTCTCATGAGGTGGAAACCCTAATCCCCCATCCTTTTGGGGGGATTTCTAGGGAAAAGGGGAAAGGATAAACAGGAGCCTGCAGGGCTTTTCCTGATCCCGGGAATGCTGGCCTGGCTCTGTGGGATTCTCCCAGCAGTTTTCCTTGCCCTGCAGCAGGAATATTGGATCTGGATCTGAATATCCCCCGTGGGAACGCGGCACCAGCGCCCCTGGAAGTTCACTGCCACTCTCAGGGTGTGGGAATGGGAAAAACGAGCAGGAAAACTGAGCAAAGACGGATCAGGGAAGGTTCCTGCCCTGATCCAGGCCCTGCTCCCCTGGGAATTCCCTGGAATTCCTCACCCCGGGCACCCGAAGGAGCCGTGTCCCTGTCCTGCCTGCTGAGCTCCCACAGGAGCCCTGGGCAGGGCAGCTCCGGGCCCGAGGAAATTCCTCCGTGGGGGGAAAGATGGCACTGGGAGAGCTCAGCCCGGCTCCAGCTGCACGAGGGACCAGGAAAAGAGGGAAACGGGAAAAGAGGGAATGAGGAGGGACCAGGAAAAGAGGGAAACGGGAAAAGAGGGAAACAGGAGGGACCAGGAAAAGAGGGAAACAGGAAAATAGGGAACCAGGAGGGACCAGGAAAAGAGGGAAACGGGAAAAGAGGGAATGAGGAGGGACCAGGAAAAGAGGGAAACAGGAAAATAGGGAACCAGGTGGGACCAGGAAAAGAGGGAAACGGGAAAAGAGGGAACCAGGAGGGACCAGGAAAAAAAGGAATTGGGAGAGACCAGGAAAAGAAGGAATCAGGAGGGACCAGGGAAAAATGGACCAGGTGAGAAAAGGAAAAGAAGGAACCAAGAAAAGAAGGAACCAGGAGGGACCAGGGAAAGAGGGAATCAGGAAGAACCAGGAAAAGAGGGAACCAGGAGGAATCACGAAAAAATGGCACCAGGAGGGACCAGGGGAAAAGGGAACAAGGAGACCCAAGGAAAACACGGCCCCGAATGCGCCACTGGGGGCTGGGGGCTGTCCCTGCTCTTCCCCATCCCCTGGAATCAATTAGGGAACAATTCGGGCTGGAAATACCGGGAAGGGACCAGAGCAGGGATGGGCAAACCTCAAACAATGCAGACGTCTGGAGACTCGTCTGGGACAGAGCCCTGGTGGCACCGGGGAGCTCCGGGCTCGCCGCATTTTCCCTCCCACCGAGCATTTTCCAAGGATCGCTGAAGGAATCACTCCCTGCTGCAGGAGGGAACAGCCCCACGGGGAGCTGGAGCCCGGAGCCAAGTGCCAGTCCTGGGTGCCAGTCTTGGTGCCAGTCCCGGTCCTGGGTGCCAGGTGCCAGTCCCAGCTCCAGGATGCCCAGCCACATCCAGAGGGAGCTGATCCTCCAGGAAAGCCAAGCCCATGGCACAGCAGAGGGGCTCCGTGCCCTGCCCGCACCCTGCCAGGCTGGGGGGCAGAGCTTGGCAGGGATGGATTTATCCCCAAAGTGTCTGGAGAGGGAAAACCCCCCCGGGGCAGCAGCAAAGCTCTGTGAGCACTGATCCTGTCCAGGCTGGGCACGGCTGAGGGGTGTGAGGGGCTGAGGGGTTTGGGGGCTGAGGGGTTTGGGGGTCTGAGGGGTTTGGGGGGCTCTGCGCTGCTCCCCAGGGCTGTTTCTGGTGCCCACAGCCCTGCCTGGGGAGCTGCAGCCGTGCCAGGCCCTGCCCGGGCTCGGGACATCCCAGTTAGGGAGCAGGGACATCCCAGTTTGGGAGCAGAGCCAGGCCCTGCCCGGGCCAGGGACATCCCAGTTTGGGAGCAGGGATATCCCAGTTTGGGAGCAGGGACAGCCCAGTTTGGGAGCAGGGACAGCCCAGTTTGGGAGCAGGGACATCCCAGTTTGGGAGCAGAGCTATCCCAGTTTGGGAGCAGGGATATCCCAGTTTGGGAGCAGGGACAGCCCAGTTTGGGAGCAGGGACTGGGAGAGGCTGGGGGGAGCGAGGGGGAATTCTGGCTGCTCCACCCTCAGCTGGATTCGGGTACCAAAACAGGGAGGGGAAAGGGGGTTCTGCAGGCAGAGGTGAAATATGGGGGGCTGCCCTGGTTCCTGTGCCCCAGATGTGCCCAGATGTGCTCCAGGTGCTCCCAGTGCCAGGCCAGGCCGTGCCCAGCAGTCCTAACGTGGTCTCCCCAAAAACCAGGGGGTGCAGGGCAGCTTGTCTGAGCAAAGGGGCATTTCCTGCAACTCCTGCCTGGGCCAAACCCCACAAATCCCCAGACCCTGAACCTCCAAACCCCACAAATCCCCAGACCCTGAGCCCCCAAACCCCACAGATCCCCATCCTGAGCCCCCAAACCCCACAGATCCCCCCCTGACCCTCCCGGGGCAGCACAGGCTCCTCCCTGGAGCTCCTCTCAGAGGGGACAACACCAAGACAAGGGGGGACAAGGCCACAGGTGCACGGAGAGCAGCTCCCGGGGGTTGGGGTCCTGCTGGAGCCGGGAATTCTGCCGAGGGTCGGGTGGGAGCCGCTCCCTTCTCAGCGCTTCCATCTCCACGGCAACCAGGGCGCCGCCGGTCCCGGTTTAAAGGTTTAAAAGATGCTCTGCCGCCTGTTCTTGCCGCGGGCTGGGGAGGGGACACGGGGCTCAGGGGGCATCCCGAGCCGGTGCCACTCCCAGAGGAGCCAGCTGCGCCCAGATGTGCCAAGGAACGCCAGCCAGGGGTGGTTTGTGAGCGGAGAGGCGGCAGGGAGAGGGGTGGGCTTGTGCTGCCCGGAGCCGGGGCGGCCGTACCTGAGTGCTGGAAGGCCGAGCCGCGCTGCCCGGGGTCCCTCTGCAGCTGGATCTCCTTCAGGGAGAAGATGGAGGCAGCTGGGGGGGACAGAGGGAGAGGGGTCAGTGCTGCCCCAGGGGGGCACCTGCACCGAGCTCCTCCTCAGCCTGCCACCCATCTCGCCCCACCCTAATTAATATTACATCATTATTATTATTATTATTATTACTATTATTATTACTATTATTATAATCATCATCATCATAGTTATAATTATCATTATTATTACTACTATTATTATAATTATGTTATTATTTGTTATTATCCTTAATCGCATTCATAATAATATTAATATTATTATTTGTTATTATATATTATTATTCATTATTATTGTAATTATCATTAATGTTTTAATTATTATTAGTAGTACCATTATTATTATTATTTGTTATTATTTGTTATTATTTGTTATTACAGTTATTGTCATTAATGGTATTATTCTTACTATTATGATTAGTTACTATTTGTTATTATAGTTATTATCAATAATGGTACAATAATTACTATTAATATTATTATTAACTATTAGTTATTTTAATTAATTTTAAATCATATTACTTATTATTAGCTATTAGTTATTTTAAATAACATTACTTCTTATTATTAGTGTTCTTGCTATGGTGATGATGATGATGATGATGATGATGATTAACATTACTTCTTATTATTAGTGTTGTTGCTACTATTATGATTATGATGACTATTATGATGATGATTATTGTTGTTGTTACTACTACTACTATTATTACTATTATTATTATTATTATTATTATTATTATTATTATTATTATAATTCCTCCTCGCTCCCACAGCCATCAGCTCCTGCCCACCCTGCAGCAGCGGCGCCTTTGGGGGGCAGCAGCACTCACTGTCAGGCAGGAGGTGCACGCGCTCGCCCAGGCTCCTGAAGTAGGGGTGCTCAGCACTTACTGTCAGGCAGGAGGTGCACGCGCTCGCCCAGGCTCCTGAAGTAGGGGTGCTGCAGGGCTGCCTCGGCTGAGATCCGGCCCTTGGCTCTGTACTGCACAGAGCCCCGAGAAAAGCCAGCAAAAATCATTGATATCACACAGCTGGGCACCTCTGCCCATCCCAGCAGTGCCACCCACCCGCCCCGTGGCCCCTTCCCTTCCCTTCCCTTCCCTTCCCTAACCCTAACCCTAACCCTAACCCTAACCCCCCCACCCCTGGGCTGCCCCAGCACCCACCAGGAGCAGATTTGTCAGCAGGTCAACCCCTTCCGAGTCCAGCCTGGGAGAGAGGGGAAATAAAACCAAAACTGCACCAAAACTGCACCAAGGCTGCACCAACCACAGCGAGGGACGAGTGGCACTGCAGCCGCCAGCCCCACGGGGAGAAAACGAGCCTGGGCTGCCCGGGCTGCCCCCCACACCCCTCAAACCCCCGATCTTTATCTGCCCCTGCTCTGGGGGTACCTCGGGGCGTGATTCAGCAGCGGCTGGGCTCGGTGCTGGCTGAAGTTGTAAGCCTTGAACTCCTCGTTGGACGTTATCCCGGGCCAGGTGTCCTCGGTGGGGGTTCCTGTGGGGGCACAGGGGACCTGCCATGGGCACTGGGTGTGATGGGAACCTTCCGAGTGTGGGGTCTGTCCCCGAGAGAGGGCACCCATGTCCCCAGGGGCTGGCAGTGCCAGCAGGGAGCCTCTCATCCTTACACTGGGCCAGCCTGGAGGGGGCTGCGGGCAGCTTCTGTCCGTGCCAGCTGACCCCTGCCCACCCCAGCCATGTGTGCCCACCTCTGCCCATGTCAGCCCGCCCCTGCCTGTTCCATCCCACCCCTTTTCATTCATGTCCACCCCATTCCATCCTCATTCATTCCTGCAACCCCAGTCCATCCCAACCCACCCCTGCTCCCTCCTTCCCACCTCATCATTCCTGTTCATTCCTGTCCACCTCATCCCATCCCTGCTCCCTCCTTCCTATTGCATCCCACCTCATCCCTGCCCATCCTGTTCCACCCCATCCCTGTTCATTCCTGTCAATCCCATCCCATCCCAGCCCGGCCCATCCCACCCCTTTTCCCTCCTACCGCATCCCACCTAACCCTAACCTCATCCCACGCTATCCCCGTTCATTCCTGCTCATCCCATCCCTTTTCCCTCCTTCCTACTGCATCCCACAGCACCCCACCCCATCCCTGTTCATTCCTCCACCTCATCTCATCCCACCTCATCCCTTTTCCCTCCTTCCTACCACATCCCACCTCATCCCTGTTAATCCCATTCCACCCCATCCCTGTTCCTTCCTTTCTACCCCACCCCTTTTCCCTCCTTCCCACCCCATCCCACTTCATCCCTGCTCATTCCTGTCCACCCCTATCCCTGTTTTCTCCTTCCCACCGCATCCCATCCCATGCATCCCATCCCATGGATCCCATCCCATGGATCCCATCCCATCCCATCCCATCCCATCCCATCCCATCCCATCCCATCCCATCCCATCCCATCCCATCCCATCCCATGGATCCCATCCCATCCCATCCCACCCTGCTCCTCCCCGCCCCGTTCCGCTCCCGGTGCCGTTCCCGGAGCCGCTCCCGGAGCGTTCCCGGTGCGGTTCCCGGTGCGGTTCCCGGATTCCCGGTGCCGCTCCGGTGCCGCGGGCAGGCAGTGCCGGAGCCGCTCCCGGAGCATTCCCGGTGCGGTTCCCGGAGCATTCCCGGTGCCGCGGGCAGGCAGTGCCCTCGCGCGGGGACGCGGGCTCAGCGCACGGCGCTCACCCAGCAGGCGGAAGATGAGGTGCAGCTCCTCCTTCACCGTGGAGCCGGGGAACATCGGCCGGCCCGTCACCATCTCGTAGTGGATGCAGCCGACCCCCCTGAAGCGCCGGGACACCCCGCGGTCAGCGGGACGAACCCGCGGGGGCCGCCGCCGGAGAGGATCCGCTCCCACCGGGTGGGGATGGCACGGACCCGACCCGAGCCCCAGGGGATGGGGAAACAGCTCTGGGAACAGGGAAAACTGCTCTGGGAGAGCCTGGGGACACGGGGACTGGGAAATCACCTCTGGGAGAGCCTGGGGACAGGGAAATCTGCACTGGGGACAGGGAAAACTGCTCTGGGAGAGCCTGGGGACAGGGAAAACTGCTCTGGGAGAGCCTGGGGACAGGGAAATCTGCACTGGGGACAGGGAAAACTGCTCTGGGAGAGCCTGGGGACAGGGAAATCTGCACTGGGAGAGCCTGGGGACAGAGAAAACTGCTCTGAGGACAGGGAAAACAGCTCTGGGAGATCCTGGGGACATGGGGACAGGGAAACCTGCACAGGGAGAGCTCTGGGGACACAGAAATCTGCTCTGGGAGAGCCTGGGGACAGGGAAAACAGCTCTGGGAGAGGCTGGGGACAGGGAAATCTGCACTGGGAGAGCCTGGGGACATGGGGACAGGGAAATCTGCACTGGGAGAGCCCCAAACCCTCTGGTGTAAAAAGCCTCAGGGGACAGGGAAAACTGTTCTGGGAGAGCTCTGGGGGTGGGGAAAACAGCCCTGGGAGAGCCCCCCACCCCTTGTGGTACCCAGCACGGTGAGGATGAGGATGGAAACGCCCGACCCCTCCTGCAGAGCCCGGGAGCTCGGTGCCTCACCACATGTCGATGGGCGTGGAGTACTCGGTGGATCCCAGCAGGACGTCGGGGGGCCGGTACCAGAGCGTCACCACCTCGTTGGAGTAGGTTTTTGTGGGGACAGACTTGGCCCTGGCTAATCCTGGGGGCGGGAGGGACACGCATCCAGGAGCTGCTCCTTTTTTCCCAATCCTGCATCGCCCCTGGAGGGCTTCACCTACCAAAATCAGCCAGCTTGAGCTCCCCGCGCTCGTTGATGAGCAGGTTCTGGGGTTTGAGGTCTCGGTGCAGGATTTTCCTGCCGTGGCAATAAGCCAGGCCACGGAGCAGCTGGAACATGAAGATCTGCAGGGAGGAGGAGGAAGGTGCATTTAGGACTAAAACTCATCCTGCCTTGAGGAATGTGGATGGTGTGGGCAGGAAAGACCCCTCGGAGCTGTTGGGAAGCGTCACGGAATGGGATGAGCGAAGAGTGCAGTGATTTTATTTGGGGTGGAAACGCTGGGGGAGCCTCAGAAGGGCCGAGGGAGCAAGAACTGAAGGGTGAAGGGATCCCCAGCTTCCCTCAGCCCTAAAACCCCCCACCCAGGACGAGGGCCAGGGGAGGGGTCCCTGCACGCCCCTCACCTTCACATTGTGCACGCTCATCAGGTTCCCGCAGTTCTCCAGGTACTGCTTGAGGTCGTTGTCCTGCAGCGGGAAGGACACGTCAGTCTGTCCTGCCCTGGTCCCCCCAGCCCCCAGAGGAGCCCCCAGACCCACCAGGTACTCGAAGACGAGGGTGAGGCAGCGCTCGGTGTGGATGATGTCGTGCAGGGTGACGATGTTGGCGTGTTTGAGGTTCTTCAGCAGCGACACTGCGGGGACAGCGGGGTTGGGGCAGCAGCACCCGGGGCTGGGCAGGGCCACGGGCACCCCAAACCCTCCTGGGGGTCTGGGGGAGGCCCCTCCCGGCCTCACCTTCCCGGATGGCCGTGCAAGGAGCGCCCTCCTCGTGCTCCAGGCGGATTTCCTTCAGCGCCACCAGGTTCTCCGTCAGCTTGCTGCGGCCCTTGAACACCGTGGCGTAGGTGCCCTGGCAGGGACAGGGGACATTTCCCAGGCTGGCACAGCACTGCTGTCCCCCAAACATTTGGAGGAAGGACCATTTGAGGTGACAGCAGCAGGGCTGAGCTCCACGAGAAAGGCTTGCTCTGAAAATTTCTGGATATTGAAGATTTTTGCCCTTTGTTCTTCAAGCTACTCTTTGAGTTTTATTGAATTCCTTACGGGGGTGTCGCAGACTACTCACCTCTCCCAGTTTGTCCAGTTTAACGTAGGTTTCCAGCTTCCCAAAGCCAATATCTGACTGTGAGAGAGAAAGGAAAACATCACTGGGGAGGAGGGAACCTCATCCAGGGATGGCTTCACCTCCAGAAGCGTTTCCAGGACACTGGGCAGTGACAATTGGGATTTTTATTCCATTTACTGCCCAAACCCTCTGTGTATCCTGGGAAAAGCCGTGTCCTGAGCAGGGGAGTGCAGGTGCTGGAACCCGAGTTGCTGCACAACCCCCAGAGCCACATTCCTTATTCATGAGGGGCTCATGAATATTAATGACACATCGCCCTGGCGTTGTTTTATTGATCAGACAGCACAGGCAGGTAAATCCCAGCTCTCCTTCCCCCTTCCTTCCTCCTGAAAGGGCACCTTGGGTCCCAAAATGCCTCCTGAGGCCTGGCCGAGGTACCTGGGCACACCTGGTGTCTGCACACGGAGATTTTTCTCCTGTTTTATTGTACACAGAGTTTCTGCTCCTATTTCTGCTGCTGCAGCAAAGGAAGGGAAATGCCACCACTGGCGCCGAGGCTGATTCATTATTTATCCACATTTGCATTTCGGCTGAGCTGCAGGAGGGTTTCCCTCTGCTGCTTTGGGAAGGAGCCAGGCTGAGAGGGCAGCCAGGTGTGCACAGGGGAGGGAGAAGGTGGGAATGGCCCAGCAGGTGCAGGGGAAGGGATGCAGATCTCAGAACTGTGGGGTTGTTGGGGGTGGAAAATCCCTGTGGGATCATCGAGTCCAGGCTGTGCCCGACCCCCACCCTGAGCACTCAGTGCCACCTCCAGGGATGGGCACTCCAAACCCCCCTGGGCAGCCCCTTCCAGCCCTTTCCAGGAGGAAATTCCTGCTGATGTCCACCCTGAGCCTCCCCAGCCCAGCCTGAGGCCGTTCCCTCTCCTCCTGTCCCTGTTCCCTGGGAGGAGATCCCAAATTCCCCCCGGCTGTCCCCTCCTGGCAGGGAGTTGTGCAGAGCCACAAATTCCCCCTGAGCCTCCTTTGCTCCAGGCTGAGCCCCTTCCCGGCTCCCTCAGGACTCTCCAAACCCTTCCCAGCTCCCTCAGGACTCTCCAGACCCTTCCCAGCTCCCTCAGGACTCTCCAAACCCTTCCCAGCTCCCTCAGGACTCTCCAAACCCTTCCCGGCTCCCTCAGGACTCTCCAGACCCTTCCCGGCTCCCTCAGGACTCTCCAAACCCTTCCCAGCTCCCTCAGGACTCTCCAAACCCTTCCCAGCTCCCTCAGGACTCTCCAGACCCTTCCCGGCTCCCTCAGCTCCTCCCGGATGTGCAGGAAGGGCTGGGAACGGGCAGGGACAGGAGGGGACCTCAGTGCCAGCTGGAGCAGCTGGCACAGCGGGACACGGCTGCAGCAGAGCCAGGGGGACACGCCTGGATGGCACTGCCCCTCTGCTCGGTGCCACTTACGAGGGAGGCCCGGCGGGACATCCTGCTCAGGGGTTTGGGGAGCTCCAGGCTCTCCATCTGCAGCTTCTGCAGGAACTCGGGGGGCAGCCGGATGTCCATGGGCAGCGAGAGGCGCTTGCTGACGTCCTGCAGGGAGGGACAGAGCACGGGGCGCTGGCACCAGGACTCTCGGGGGCACTGACGTGGCAGTGCCAGCTCGCCATGATATTTTCTGGGAATGACTTCCCAGAAATTGCGGTGTGATTTCATGGTTTACCCCAGAACCCTGCGTTTCTCCCTGAAGATTCCCTCCCGGGTGTGTCAATCACCTCTCCTCTCCCCACCATGACCCCAGACTGACTGTCTGTCAATCCTGGAATTCCAGAAGGGTGTGAGTGATTGGGCAGATTCCAAAGATGCCCCCCAGAGCATCCAGGTGTCCTTTGTCCCTGGTACCTGGCTGGTGGCTCCCTATCCCTTCCCTCCCCCGGTAGAAGGGATCCACGTTTGGGAGTTCCGTTGGAGAGTTCCTGGATTCAGAGGCCCGTGGGCCACAACAAAGCTCTGGGTTGAAACCCTCCATCAGAACCGACTCCTTCCTTCACCATGGCCCTAAAGCTTCCCTGGCACAGTGCCCCCCCCAGAGGAGCTCCATCCCACCCCATCCTGGAGCCCTGGCATGCCTGGGCTTGTCCCCACACCCCCAGCTGTGACCCAGGGCCAGCCAGGGTGTCTGGGGTGCAGCACCACGCTGGCACTGCTCGGTTCAGCTGCGGGGCCGGACAAGCCAAGGCACGTCCCCAGTGCTGGTAACACCAAAATGGAAAATTCCTCTTTGCCCAGGATCCTTCTCCTGGGAAGCTGAGAAGCCCGAGAGGAAAATGTAAATAAGAATTGTCTGATTTGCTTCTCTGTTTTGCTGCTCTGGAACGTGGCAGGTGCGTGTTTGATTGGCTCCATGTGAATTGGTTTTACTTCATGACAATCAAATCCACCCGTGTCGGACTCTGGTCAGTCACGGGGTTTTATGATTCATTTTTTCAAGCCTTCTGATGTACCTTGTCTCTATAATTTAGTATAGTTCTAGTATATAATTTCATATAATATAATAGAATATGATATAGTATAATTTAATATAATGTAATATAATATAATATAATATAATATAATATAATATAATATAATATAATATATCATATGTTATATAATATACTATGGTGTAATGTAATGTAATATAATAAATATAATGTAATATATTATGTCATATACTATGGTGTAATGTAATATAATATAATATAATTAATATAATGTAATTAATATAATCAGCCTTCCTCCATGTGAATTGGTTTTACTTCATGACAATCAAATCCACCCGTGTCGGACTCTGGTCAGTCACGGGGTTTTATGATTCATTTTTTCAAGCCTTCTGATGTACCTTGTCTCTATAATTTAGTATAGTTCTAGTATATAATTTCATATAATATAATAGAATATGATATAGTATAATTTAATATAATGTAATATAATATAATATAATATAATATAATATAATATAATATAATATAATATATCATATGTTATATAATATACTATGGTGTAATGTAATGTAATATAATAAATATAATGTAATATATTATGTCATATACTATGGTGTAATGTAATATAATATAATATAATTAATATAATGTAATTAATATAATCAGCCTTCTAAGAATATGGAGTCAGATCCATCTCTTCCCTCATCCTGGAACCCTCACAACCACCACAGTGCCCGGGGGCTGGTGGCACACGGCGAGTGCCCCGTGGGAGTCACAGCATGTCAGGGCTGGTGTGTGACACTGCCACATCCCAAACCACAGCAGGCAGCGGGAGGTGACACCCGGCTGTCCCCAGGTCCCAAACCACAGCCAGGCAGCTGGAGGTGACACCCGGCTGTCCCCAGGTCCCAAACCACAGCCAGGCCACGGGAGGTGACACCCAGCTGTCCCCAGGTCCCACAGCCAGGCCACGGGAGGTGACACCCGGCTGTCCCCAGGTCCCAAACCACAGCCAGGCCACGGGAGGTGACACCGGGCTGTCCCCAGGTCCCAAACCACAGCCAGCGGGAGGTGACACCCGGCTGTCCCCAGGTCCCAAACCACAG